AGGGTTGACCCACTGAGCCCGCAAAACAATCGGGCCTGAAAATGATAGCCCTAACCCACTTATAAGTGGGTTGAAACGGGCCAACCCGCGGGTTTCGGCCCGTTTTGACGGCTCTAATAGTTCATCCTCGGTTGAGCATAAAATTTAGATTTAGAAAGAATTTACATAAATCGCTGATGTATATATAAATATATTTACGGAGTATGATATTTACAGAAATTGGTTAGATTGATAATTCATTGATTTCATTCGGATTCCTCCTCGCCTAAGCTCTGCTCCAGGGCCGGTCCTGGAATATTTAAGGCCCTGTGCAAAATTAAATAAAAGACCCTATATTAAAATTTTAATTTAAAATTTAATTAAAAATTGATATGCCGTGAATAAAATGAATTTGTTTGATTCATAAAAGTTAATTTTACAACTCAATTTGAGACTGATGGAGTAATTATATATAACACATGTAATGAAAATAATAAACTTAAAAATACAAATACAAAAAAGTAAGTATAAAATGTAATGAAAAACTTATTTTGATTGCTAACAAAAAAGTATCATAATAAAAGAAATCCAAACTAATAAGAATTGTAACTATAAGGAAATGAAGAAAGTAACTTACAAATGTATATACGGAGCCAGGGGCGGAGGTACCATGACAGCCAAGGGGGCCATGGCCCCCCCAATTTTTTTTTTTTTTTAAATATTACTATTAAATTTTTTTGGCCCCCCCCAAATAATATTATGAGGTCAAGCTTGGACTCCTGGGAGCAGGGGCGGATCTGCCAGGTCCAGTGGGTTTTGGGGGTCCGTCGGAGCTGTCCGTTAGAGTTTCCGGTGAGCTGTTGAAGTTTTGCAGTTGTTCGCCGCTGCAGGAGAGGGATGAAGTGGAGTGAGCTGCGTTGAATCTTTTAATTAAAACAATACGGCATCGTTTGCATTTAATTGCTTGGAGGAAATAAATAAGGGCCAATTGGGCCAAGCAAGGCCCAATGCCCATCAGCTTTTCCATTAATCCAAAATCAGCGCCCACTCTGCGTTCCACCCCTGCGACTTCCATCTTCCGCAACTCCGCAAGACCAGCAACCTGTGCAGCGCCGCAGCAGCAGTCAGCAGACCAGCCGTCCAGCCGTGAGCCACGCCGCCCACGCGGAACGAAGGTTACGTTGCAGCACGAACCGCAACTCCACAAGCAGCCAGCCGCCAATTCCGCCGATTTGGTATGTTCCGAGAATCCGAGCTCCGACTTCCTATTTTTTCTCTTTTAAATTAAGTAAATTTTGGTATTTCACTATTGATTGTTTTTAAATTCATAATTATGATTTGCAAAATATGTTGGGTAAAATAGTTTGAATTAAATATAATGATTATGTGTTATTGTGTAAGTTGTGTTAATCTGTTAGTGTATTATTCGTATTAAATGAAGTATTTATGTAGTTTGAATTAATTATTGTTTTCGATATTTATTATTCCCAAATGTCATTTGAGAAATATTACTATATTTTGAAATTTTATATTTCCTTAATTCCTTGAGTCATGATTGATTACAGATTACTCCATTTATTTTTAGATTATAGTATATTATCAATTTATCATACTAGTAATTATGTTTGTTAATTATTAGGTACCATTACCCAATAAATCAATATGGTTAGTGAATTCGAGTAGATTGATCATTCATACAATGAATTCGTATTTGTCTAAATGTCTAATTATTGTTTTAAAGATGATCTTAAATGGAATAGTTAAATTAAATACAATCTCTCTTGTTCTTATTATGAATGAATATTGGTATATCATTTATTTTGTTAGGATATTTTTATATTATACTCCCGAAGTATGTGCTAATACTTGTGTCCAATCCCGGCCCCCCCTCGTACTAAAGTCTGGCTCCGCCCCTGTACGGAGCATGGTAGTATAGTAAAGTAATAATACAAATAATACGGTACTCAACTAACAAATAAGTATATGCAGTATGTCGGAATTGATTTCACTAAAGATGGTTTATATTTGTATAGCTAATGACTGAAATATTTCAATCAGTTGATGTGGTAAGATGGTAAGCCACGAATTTCTCCTCGTAGCCAACCCGTTCGACTCTTGCATGGGCAGTTTTTTTTATTCAGAAGGGCTAATAACTATCGGGCCTTCCGCCCAATTTGGGCCTTCCGCCCAATTTGGGCCCTGTGCGACCGCACTGCCTGCACAGCACCAGGGCCGGCCCTGCTCTGCTCTAAAAATAAAAATCAAACTTACAAAACAACGAAGAAAACCAGTGGTTGACAATTATGTAAGCAACACAATACACTGGACAAAAAACGGAAGTTGCGGATGCAGGTAGAACGGCAACGACTAACGAGGGTAAGATATGTCCAACACTTCAATACACCCCAATTTGGGGTGTTAAAAAACTCAGCCATTGGGGTGTTAGGAAGATTTCCTGCAACACCTTTGAACACCTACTAACACTCCATTTTTTTAACAATTCCTCTCCCAAACACAAGGGTTAAGACCAACACCCTTCAGCACTTCCATTACTAGCACTCCTAAACACTCAATCCAAACAGGCCATTAGCAACCTAGTGGCCGCCTCCCCTCTTTTTAGAGGTTGTGTTTTTCCGCCCCTATCAATATCGGGCCGGAGCAACATATTTTTACTAATTTTAAGTGTTCCAAGGCTTTATATTGCAGCTATGTCGGGGGAGATAACATTGGTTGAGCATCCGGATGTGGCTTGGAGTTTATATCAGTGCAGGATCGCGCAGCCTTGGTCGCCACTCCGATGGTGGTGGAGTTAGTATTCACTCATCTTGCAAAAGTTCGTCCTCCTCCGAAACCACCTCCGTACTAGCAAGAGTTTTGCAGAAAGACTTTATTTTAATGCTATTTTGTCTTTAGTGGTGGTACTTGTTTTTATTTTAGTCTGAGTAGTTTTTGTTTGGATGTTTGAATCTTTGGAGTTCTTTTAATAGGCTATGGTTTCATGTCCATTCGTTTTAGGTTTAAATTTGCCCGTTTCAGGTTTAGCGAGTCAGACTGCTTTGTATGAGGTGCCTTACTTTAAGTCTACTTCTAAGGTTCACGATTGGAACTGTAAAATTTTTCAAAAAGTTGTTTTGTATGTGTTCTCGATTTTAATATAAACGCCGCTCTCTTATGATAAAAAAAAGATAGTTGATAGTTATTGGTTAGCACACAACATTCTCAAAACCATTAGTTGAGCAAAATTTACACTTGACCTGCATTTGACCCGGAAGCTAGGGTCAGAAAACTGCCTCATAATTGATCCGAGCTTAAAAGGAAGCAACACAATAATTAGAAAAGTTAGAATCAAATTGCCTAAGCTTAATTACGATCATAATCACATGATCATGGAAACAACACAATAATTAGAAAATGCAACGCGCATAAGATACTACTAGGGGTGGACTCGGGTCGGGTCGCCCGGCCCGGTACTGTTTGGGCCCGGCCCGGAACCCGGTCCTGGGGTCGGTTCGGGCCAACCGGAACCGCTCTAATCCCGGGGCGGGCTCGGGCCCCCCAAAATGCGAACCGGCCCGGGCCCGGTATGGCCTTTTTTTTTCAAATTTTTTTTGTTTCTAATGGGTTGGGCTGAGTGTTTGGAAGGTGGGGTTTTGGGGGGTGGGGGTGAGGGTGAGGGGGTCGGGGGTTATTTAGAAAACCAAAAGATAATAAAAAAAATAACATTGAACCGGAACCGGCCCGAACCGGCCCAGAACCGCCGGCGACCCGGGCCGGTTCTGATTCCACCATTCCCAAATAAAAACCCGGCCGGGCCCAAGTCCGAACCAGAACCGGCCCGGCCCAGGTCCATCCATAGATACTACTAAGTACTCCCTCCATCCCAAAATTATTGTCCCGTTTGGTTTTTAACACAAATTAAGAAAATGACACTGTAGCGACACTGTTTGGCACTGTAGTGAAAATGTTTGACACTGTAGCAACACTTTTTGACACCGTTTTGTTTACTAAATAAGGAAGTTAAAGAAACGAGACAATAATTTCGGAACAGACCGAAAAGGAAAGCGGAACAATAATTTTGGGACGGATGGAGTATTTTATTACCAAAATACAATGCATAGGCAAATCCCCCGGAGCCTCTGCCTCTCCAATGCAAAACAAAGCAAAGTGCGGCCATTTGTTCATAATATTCATCGTCTGAATCAGCCATTCCTATGGCAGGGAAACTAGGGAAGAATGGGATTTCAGATGAAGCTTCACTTCAGTGTCAATGGCCGAAACTGCATTGGAGTTGCCGGCTTGCCGCTAACAAGGCCAACCCAGGTGAAACTGAAGACTCAAATGCCCATTAAGCTCTTTCAGCCAACGCTAGCTTTTTCGGCTCGCTGCCAGAGAGCCAAGGTGGTTAAGGTGGTAATACCGTGGTATGAATTACGATACCACGATCTGTCACTTAACGTGCAAGGTTGATTGCCGTTATACTCTTTATGGCATGAATTAACTAGTACGATAGTATTTATATTGCAATGGGAAAAGGTGCAAATAGGCCCATGTACTAACCAAAAATGTTCAAATAAGCCCTTATTTAGGAGGCTCTATCCGGACGTCGCCATTTGGGGTGGTTCCCGGTGGAATTTTTTTATGAATTTTTTTGAACATCTCATTCATTAAGTCTAGTTTACTCATACCAAATTTCAGATAAAACTTTAATTGGGAAGGCATTCAAATGAATTCTTGAAAATAACTGCGCAGTTAAAAGAGCAGTTATCTTCAAGAATTCATTTGAATGTCTTCCCGATTGAAGTTTTAGCTGAAATTTGGTATGAGTAAACTAGACTTAATGAATAAGATGCTCAAAAGATTTCATCAAAAAATTCCAACGGGAACCACCCCAAATGGCGACGGCCGGACAGAGCCTCCTAAATAAGGGTTTATTTGACCTTTTTTGGTTAGTACATGGGCCTATTTACACCTTTTTCCTATTGCAATTGAGAAGTTTCTGCAAAATATTCTTTGTGAAATGTCCAAATTGGGATGCGCTTAATCAAGTTTACATATTAAACCAGGCACACAAAAAGGGGAAAATCATTCCAAAAAGATAACACTATCTAACAACTGCTACAAATATACTAAACCAGTAATACTTTAAATGATTACAATTAAAACGGAAAATTAGTTATAAATAGGTATATAATTTGAGTCTAAAGTCTGTCATGTAGTAAAAAGTACGATCATCATTATAGCCACGGAAGGATCCATAGATTGAAAAGAGAGCAACCATACAGGAGAACATAGCATAAGAAGCCTGTTGCAGCCGCTATCTGATAATGGTGGCATGCTGTAATCCCACAGGTGGGGAACAGGAAATCTGCTGTACTAGCAGTGGCCGAGGATGTGGCGAAAGAAAAGAACGCAAACATCTGTTGTCATTATGGAAGAATATAGAAAAATACTTCAAATATAACTTTATCCAGAGAAAAGAATACACAGGGTAGAAAAACATAAATAAGTATGGGCTCTACCCAATCTGTTGCGATAACAGCACGAGTTAATCCAGGTTTCCTGGTTCGATTTCGGAGAATGAAGATGAAGTAGCCATCCGCAACTGCCATTGCCAAACTCCATGGTATCAGCAATCCCATTACACAGGCCAAAAGCCTGCAAGCAATGAGAATATGTATCACACACACTCACAAATATATAAAGAGCCAAAAATACAGGAAGAACAATAATAGAACAGGAAGACATTGATATTATAAATGATCCCATATCTCACCAACAGCACATAATAGTACATTACTTTATCAACAAAAAGAATCCCAAAGTTAGAGAATCTGAACAGAATTAATTATTACGGAGTAATTGGGTTGGGAGTTACGCCTACTCTGTGAAAATGGAAGTAGAAATACACCGCATCTCCTTCTTATCCTTCATGTTATTATTTTCTTCACGGACATAAGGACATTGATCCTTCATTCTCCTTTCAGTTCAAAATCACAAACTCTATTGTTTCCCCACAAATAATAGATGAACCCCAAACCCCAAATTTTATTTAATTTACTATCCAAAAGCAGCAAGGGATATCCTAAATCAGATATAGGTAGCATCAACTAATCTTGATGATGCTTCATCAATATCTTCTTAATCATAGGAACTTTTATGCATGCTTGAAATTTGACGAATCAGATTGATAAAAACATTAGCTGTGCTGGTTTACATTCCAGCTGCATAAGCACTCCCCCTGAAGATAACTATCCACAACAAGAAACTAACAAACCAGACAAGGTCGAACAACTGGGCTAACCAACAACAAATGAAGAGATCACTGCCCATCACATAAATGAAACAGAGAAACAAATTAAAGCAAAAAAATCAAAATGAGGAGTGTCACACTAAGGCAAACATTAATTACCTGAAGGAATAGGAGTTATACTCATTGGAGTCATAGGGGTCAGGAGCAAAGAAGATGATAAGCAGAGAGGCAATGGAGCAAACGGTCAGAACCAATCTCAAAACCAAACTCGCAGGAGTCCCCATTGAAGCACCACTAAACACTCCGTCCATTTTCTACCGTTAAGATTCTCAAGAGTTCCTACTCCACACGACCACCACTATAGCTACTTTTATAGGTAGATTCGTCACCTGCTGCAATGTTGATACGTTTCTTCTTCCACGGCTAATTAGAAAATAATATAATATTATCCTTAATTAGTAACGGATGTAAAGTAGAAATGGTGACGAGGAGCTCTAGCCTCGGAATTCGGAAACGTTGGTATTTTTACTCTAAGCGTAACTAAATTTGGAAAAAGGTTGACCAGTCTCGAGCTCTCCGCCATTTCCTTTCCCTTTTAGTTTAATGTTTATTTCTGTCACAGGAAATGCTCATACAAATAAATCAAACCTTCATTTTAACAGAAGCTCTGCAACTCGGCCCTCAATTTTATGAGTTCAGATTTGACACTTCAAAAGCTTGATTCCATGATAACAGAGATGCACCTCACACTTAACAATTACCCGCATGTATGTGGATTGGGGAAGGAGCAGCCTTCCAGAGCCGTTGGACTCGAGATGGGACCATGTAGGTTTTCTTCTGCCGAAGAGCCTAAGGCTCTAGTAGGCCGTATCCCTATCTCGTCCATTCCTTCGCACGCGCCGCCTATTGGTGTCGAAACGGCCGGTTACCATCGTATGTGTCATCCGCTAGTCTCCGCATGGCATCAAAGGAGATGACGCCATGACGGCTGCGTTGAAGACTGTTTTACTCCGTTTTTAAAGTACTCCATCCACATCAAACCTAGACCACCCCAAATTAAACAGATCAGACAAGACTAGACCACACTTCCATAGTTATAAAATATGCTGAGACCAAACGTTTACCAAACCAGACTAGTTCAGACCAGACCAGACCACACTTAAACAGATCAGATCAGACTAGACTAGCAAATTTCAATCCAAAAGAAAACATTCTTAGTCTTAAAGAATAACGTGAAATTCGTACCAATAATCCATACTTTTAGCTGTTCTACAATAATAATCCCTACAGAAGATATCTATATAAATAATACGCATAAACACGTCTACATAGATAGATTAGATAAATCTTTTTATAATTAATATATAAGGATACAGTATTGACTTTGTTCACCATTGTCATACATGTGAATTTAGTGTTTTTTATATCATTACAATAATTATTTTCTTGAAGGATAGTAATCTAAAGTTGAAAAATAGGTAGTTAAAAATATTTAAATTATCGGGAGCGAACCTAGACCAATTAGGAGATTGAAACCGAAGATAAGGTCATGGACCGCCCTATTTATTTAGCACTAACCAGGGTGTGGAACCCGTCCTAAAGCACTAACATTTCACATGTAAACATGTTTATATTTTGTCAAATATTAATTTACAAGTTATTATTATACCTATAATGATCTCATTTCCGGTGATAACAAAGAGTGTCTAGAGTGCAAATTGGGAATTTTCTTGCATTTAATTTTAAATGGTAAAATCGAGTAGTAAACTTCCTTTTTGAGTCGGTTTGGTTCATTTAAGTTGATTTGTTTCAATGTTTGACAAATTTAACATATTTTGATCATTTTCAATTGAGTAAATTTACTCATTTTACAAATTCAAATGCATAAAACAAACTATCTAGAGTGAGGTCAATTTTGGTCATTTTTTAGTATGGATAAACTTCTTAATTATCCGACCACATTTGTGATTGAATAAAATTACAGTATTAAAACGGTACATAATGAAAAATGATGAAATTATACCTATAATTTCCTCTAAATATAGATTAAAGGTTATTTAACCATCATTAAAGGATAGAGAGGGGGTAAGAATAAATTTTTGATAGTATAGGGGTGTGATAATAGGGGTGTGATAATTTCCCTTTACAAATTTTGAAATACTTGTTTAAACACAATATTTGTTATTCATTGGCACATTGGCCTTTCTTGTCACAATATTTTCTTGTCGCTTAAAACTTTTTCAAGTTAGGCTGGCACAGGAAGAAATGGAGAATAAGTAAAAGCTGAACATGAGAGAAAGAAATAACAGAATAAAAAATTAATTAATTAAAAGGGAAAGTAACATAATTTTTTAGAAAATATTGAAAGGAAATATGACCAATATTTTATGGGACCAATGGAGCATAAGAATGTTCAAAGAATTAGGTTTACTAACACATAAAAAAGCAATATTCAATTATGATTAGAAAGGGATGGAACATAAGAATCTTCAAAGCATTAGGTTTAGTAATACATAAAAAAGCAATATTCAATTACATATGAATAAAAATAGGTTTAGGCAAAAATTTGTTTGGTCTTTTGTATATAGTAGGATAAGCTTAAATGCTTAGAAGGAAGCAATACAATATTTATAAAAGTTAGAATCAAATTGTATGAGCTTAAATGCTTAGTAAAATGAGAAACAACACGATAATGAGAAAATGCAACGCGCATAAGATAGTATTTTAGTATCAAAATACAATGCATACGCAAATCCCCGGTAGCCTCTCCCGTGCAAAACAAAACAAAATGCGGCCATTTGTTCATAATATTCATTCCTCTGAATCAGCCATTCCTATGGCAGGGGAACTTGGGAAGAATGGGATTTCAGAAGAAGAACCACTTCAGTGTCAATGGCCGAAATTGCGTTGGAGTTGCAGCTAATAAGGCTGACCCAGGTGAAACTGAAGACCCAAACGCCCATTGAGCTCTTTCAGCCAACACTAGCTTTGTCGGGTCGCTGCCGAGAGCCAAGGTGGTTAAAGTGGTATGAATTACGATACCACGATCTGTCACCTTAGTCACTTAACATGCAAAGGTTGATTGCCGTTATACTCTTTATGGCATGAATTAACTAGTATTTATATTGCAATTGAGAAGTTTCTGCAACTTTTTCTTTGTGAAATGTCCAAATTGGGATGCGCTTAATCAAGTTTACAAATTAAACCAGGCACACAAAAAGGGGAAAATCATTCCAAAAAGATAACACTATCTAACAACTGCTACAAATATACTAAACCAGTAATGCTTTAAATGATTACATTTAAAATCGAAAATTAGTTATAAATAGGTATATAATTTGAGTCTAAAGTCTGTCATGCAGTAAAAAGTAAAACTCATCATTATAGCCACGGAAGGATCCATAGATTGAATAGAGAGCAACCATACAGAAGCACATAGCATAAGAAGCCTGCTGCAGCCGCTATCTGATAATGATGGCATGCTGTGATCCCACAGGCAGGGAACAGGAAATCTGCTGTACTAGCAGTGGCCGAGGATGCGGCGAAAGAAAAGAATGCAAACATCTGTTGTCATTATGGAAGAATATAGAAAAATACTTCAAATATAACTTTATCCAGAGAAAAGAATACACAGGGTAGAAAAACATAAATAAGTATGGGCTCTACCCAATCTGTTGCGATAACAGCACGAGTTAACCCAGGATGCCGGGTTTGATTTCTGAGAACGAAGATGACGTAGCAATCCGCAACGGCCGTTGCCAAACTCCATGGTATTAGCAATGCCATTACACTAACCAAAAGCCTGCAAGCAATATGAATATGTATCACACACACTCACAAATATATATAGAGCAAAAAATACAGGAAGAACAATAATAGAACAGGAAGGGAATGATATCATAAATGATCTCATATCTCACCAACAGGTCATAATAGTACATTAATTTATTAACAAAAGAATCCCCAATGTTAGAAAATCTGAACAGAAAATTATTAATTGGGTTGGGATTTACGCCTGCTCTGTGAAATGGAAGTAGAAATACACCCCATGATCCCCCATCCCCTTCTTATCCTTCATGTTATTATTTTCTTCACGGACATTGATCCTCCATTCTCCTTTCAGTTAGAAATTACAAACTCTCTTGTTTCCCCACACCTAATAGATGAACCCCAAACCCCAAATTATATTTAATTTATCATCCAAAACCAGCAAGGAATATCCCAAATCAGATATAGGCAGCATAAACTAATCATGATCATGCTTCATCAATATCTTCCTAAATCCTAACCATAAAAACTTTTAAGCATGCTTGGAATTTGACTAACAGATTGGTAAAAAAGATTAGCTGTGCTGGTTTACATTCCAGCCGCATAAGCACTCTCCCCCAAAATAACCATCCACAAAAAGAAACTGACAAAGAAGACAAGATCAAACAACTGGGCTAACCAACAGCAAATGAAGAGACCACTGCCAATCACATAAATGAGACAGAAACAAATTTAACCAAAAAAATCAGAATGAAGACAGTGTCACACTAAGGCAGACTTAAAGTACCAGAAGGAATAGGACTCGTAGGAGTCATCGGACTGAGAGGAATAGCAGATGATGAGCAGAGAGGCAATGGAGCAAACAGTCACAACCAATCTGGAAACCAAACTCGCCGGAGTCCCCATTGCAGCAACAGCAGATACTCCGTCCATTTTCTAATGTTCAGATTCTCAAGAGTTCCTACTCCAGAAGACCACCGCTGCTGCTACTTTTATAGGCAGATTCGTCACCTGCTCCAATGCTGATGCTCCCCCAGGTTGACACGTTGATACGTTTCTTCCACTGTTCCACGGCTAATTAGAAGAAAATAATATAATATTATCCGTAATTAGTAACGGATGTAACGTATGGTGACGAAGAGCTCCAGCCTCGGAATTCGGAAATGTTGGTAGTTTTACTCGAAACGTAATCAAATTTGGGAAAAGGTTTACCAGTCTCGGGCTCTCCGCCATTTCCTTTCCCTGATAGTTTAATGTTTATTTCAATCACAGTAAATGCTCAGACAAATAAATCAAACCTCCATTTTAATAGCAGCTCTGTAACTCCGCCCTAAATTTTATGAGTTCACAAAATTGATTTGACACTTCAAAAGCTTGATTCCATCATAACAGAGGTTCACCTCATACTTAACAATTACCCGCATGTATGTGGATTGGGGAAGGAGCAGCCTTCCACTCTTCCAGAGCAGTTGGATTCGACATGGGACCATGTCGGTTTTCTTCTGCGGAAGAGCTTAAGGCTCCATTCCTATTGGTGTGGAAACGGCCGGTTACTAAGGTATGTGACCTCCGGAAGTCTCTGTATGGCATCTTCTATCTTCTATCAAAGGAGATGACGGCTGCGATGAAGACTGTTTTACTCCGTTTTTTAAGAATGACCAAATTGGTAAAAAGCAACCGCCTAACATATATCGGTAAAAAAAAGGGAAAGGGGCACATAAACCCTCCGACTAATACAAAAAAGTGAGGCTCTTTTTGAGAGGCTCTCTTCGGTCATCATCATTTAGGGAGGTTTCTGGTGAAATTTTTGATAAAACTTTTGGAGTATCTTTCATTAAGTCTAGTTTACTCATATCAAATACTACAGTTAAATGAATTTTTGAAAATAAGTGCATAGTTAAACATTATTTTGAAGCCTAAAGGAGGATATTTTAGGGCAAGAAATTATATGTTCAGGTGGAGTGCTCACTTCTACGAATTAGTCAATACAAAGAGATACAAAATTACTCTTTTTCATTAGACAGGGATGGGGTCCATTGGCTATGCTATGCTTTATGTCAAATTCAATCTGAAACCTCTTGGATTTTCACTAGGTATAAAAAACTGTAAGCTTCTTATATTTTGAAGCGAATAGCTTTGGCAGATTCACTCGACTACAAGCTATCGCACACGAGGCATATCTACTCTATTATCCCTGATGGTTGGAGGGTGAAGGAACTAAACGTTTCCATACTACTTTATTATGCCATTTGGACATTTTGGAAAATGCTATTAAGGGTTCTTTGTTATCGAATAATTTGGTGGAATGTGATGATTTATGTTTTGTTGATCCTATGAAATCTGTTTTTGATAGTTTTGAGTCTGTTTTTGCTTTACTTTTCGAGACAAATTTGCTTAATATTAGTTTTTTCCCTCCACCTATCAATGAAAACATTAAAAGGGACATTGTCTATTGTCAAGCGGGTAAGGTTAGGGTAGATGGGGAGGACGAGAGTTATGTTGGAGATGTCATGGAAGCATCACCTATTTAGGTCTCATACCCTGCGCAAAGCAAACAAAAATTAATCGAGGGTGATCCCCAGTCTTCAGGAGAGGATTGTATGCCCCTATCAGATCAAAAGTTGCTTGTTCGTTTAAATGATCCTAACTACAAGATAGCTTCTCAAATTCTGCTTAAACGTGAGGTTGGCGGGTAGTTCTGCTTTGCCATTGCAATCTACAATGGGATTGCAATTCATGACTAGCTCTTTAGGATCTTGCTGGTGTTGTCTATCTTCGGCGGGCAACAGGCTTCTTATTTGACTATTTTTGTTTCCCCATTTACTTTCTATTTTCATTAGCGGTTTCCTTCAATAACTTTATGCTGTTTCTTTAGATTTTTGTCTTCATTAGAGGATGCACTTTTTATTACTAAGTTTTTTTTTAAAAAATAAAACAAGGTAAGAGTTGCCAAAAAAATTACTGAAAAGTTTTTTTAAATCTACTTGTAATAATTTGGGTGTACAAGTAAAAAATTTTTGACCCAATTTTCAAAACGGTACCATTATAGAATAACGAAGGGTATGTTTACTTCACGGGTTAATAATCTTTATTTATTAAAACATATTTTGTTTAATTTGTTGTTTAATAATAGGTCCTTAATAAACTTATGTATACCCTTCATTGGATCCCATAATGAAAATCGTCGGAATACTCCTACTCTACAACCCCAGCCCCTTTCTCTGCACTACCCCTATGTAAACCGCAAATTATACCGTGAGATCGTTACACCGTGAGCATGGTGTACCGATCCCAAAACGGTACAGTTTTTTAAATTAAAAAAAATCTGATCTCCTTACTTCGTCTCTTTCCCTATTTCATCTCTACCGTACTCTATCTCTCTGGACCAGAAGCTCCGTCGTTGCCCTACTGCACAGGCTACCGCACAAGGAAAATTAAGGAGTGCTTCCAGAAATTATCTCCTCCTCCACCGTTGGTGCAATCACCTGCCCTAAATTTGGTTGCACCGATGCAGCAGTTAGGTGTATTGAAGTAAATTGTGTGACTTTCTGATGGATGTTGCACGGATGTTGGATTGACAAACAGAGCTAAGTCAATGTTAGAAACATTCAGATGTTTCCAACTTTCTCAACGTTGCAGACTTGCCTTGTTGATATTATTCTTCAATTTTTTATTGTTGTGGTACTAGGAAGTACAATAAACCATAATAAATTAGATGTGGAGTGCGTATACATGAGAAAAATTTATTGGACAATTTACATTTTGACTTGACTCAAGTTATTACATGCGAAAATACTTGTAGTTACATGTTTTTGTGCGCGAGTTACATCATATATGTGCGCGAGTTATATTTGGACTTCTCTTAGCAAGTTACCAAATATTTTGTGTGTGACACATTTACAACAATTAATGACGATATAAGTTGTGTCACGTTATTTTATTTATGATGACAAAATCATATTTTGTCACTAATTGTTATATTAAATAATGACAACATTATTTCGTCATTTAAGCCATCTTTTGGTGATGATTAATGTAAATGTGTCATAATTATACTTCTAGCAAAAAATCATGATTAAAGTTTGACCAAAATCTATTAATCTAAAATTAATATTAATGAATAAGGACATTGAGATATTGTATTATTTGTCGGTTCCTTTGTCAATACATAAGTTTTATTGTTTTTTGAAGTCATAACTTTTATTGCTATTTAACTAGATTATAACAATAATGATGACTTCATCATGGTTGTCTACAACAATTATGAGACCCTAGACAGTCATAAACATTATGTTTGAATATGTTTTTATTAAGGAAAATTTAACTTTACACTCCACTTTTTGGGTAATGTTAGACTTTGCATCAATTCTAAATAAACTTTGACCTTGCACCCTATTATATGCCCCGTAACATTTTGTAAAGAAGTATTTAGGAATGATGTGCAAAGAAATATTTTTTAAATGAAACATGATATACAATCAAAGTTTTTTTTATAATGACATGCAAAATTCAATATCACACAAAAAAATGTGATACAAAATCAAATCTGCCTTTTTATTAAACAACCCAATAGGGAGTATAAAATTAGAATATCAATTCTATAGAAGTAAATTTTTTTTGGCATTGTATAATGTATAGATGTAATACGGAGTAAATACGTAAATAAGTTTGGGGAAGAACGGAGTCCAACGCCAGCAACAAAACGATCCAGAACACTACCCGAGCTAGCCGCAAAACAACGGACCCAAGTTAACCCTTGCGCCGTCGCCGCCAGCCCTGTCGCCGCCCACCCTGTTTCCGCTCGCTCCTTCATCGCGTGCCTCGTAGCCGTTGTCCCCTGTAGCTGATCACTCTGTCTCCGCCAGCCCTCATCGAGTCTGTCGTCGTCGAGGGTTGGGTGGTTCCTGAAGGCGCCACTTCCCGATATTTACTTGCGTTCGTTGGTTGCCGGACACTTCTCAGTTTCTCACCACCGTTTCGGTTAGTTTTCATATTGTAAGTCCATTTTGTTTTATAGAGGTTCTCTTTTCCTATGAATTTGATTTAATACAATTACCACTTTGCATTTTTTATTAAATACAACTATAGATTACAATTTGTCTTCTGCCCAGAATCCCCAGACCTTTCAAATGCATTATCTGTGAGTTAAACAAATTCCGGTTTTTTAAATCTTATAATTGTCATATCCATATGTTAATATGAACTATGAAGTAATCTGATTAACCCAGCCTGATATTGACATCAGTTTTGATTTTAAATTTATCTTCTTAATGAGAAATTGTTCTAAACTATTTGGTTTAGAGAGGACGCCAAGATCGAGAAATCATAAGCCACCTTCATGATATGGAGGTGATGTTAGCACTTGACATTGAAATGGTTACGGTTTGGGATCCACGTCTTACTCATGCTTTGCTTTGTGATTTTGAAATCGATAGCTCACTTCTAATTTAGGTTCACATTGCGAAGAGAATAGATGAGCAAACTCGTTTTGTATGAGATTCATAAAACGCAGAAGGAAGACTAGCTTGATCATTTTCATATATGGTTCAGACATCTACTGGAAGAAGGTGATGCATTATCATATTTAACATCTTATTTTTTTTTTTGCGAGGTGCATATTATTTTGTTATTCCTTAAAAAGAATTATCTCACCTTTGTCATTTCAGTTTGATTATGGCCCTCTGATTGTTAAGTTGTGATGTTATGTTCTTTTTTGCTAAATGGCAAACTAAAAGTAAAAGTTCTGATTTTATATAACCGGTTTTGTTTTGAATTCAAGTTGTTATATGATTTTATATGCCAATTGCTTCTGGGATGTGTAATGTTGTTTTAACAATGTTAATTATTAACATGCATTGAACGGGTTTTAAGTTGATTTTTGTTCTCTATTTTATCTTCTGTTTACACATGTTTACTATATAAGTTACCTTTTAGGTTTATGCAATCAAGTTTCCTGGTTATGAGAATTACAAAAGGACGTTGTAATTCTACTGGAGGGCGGTAACTGGCTCTCTCTCATGTTTCTTTAAATACTTTTATATCATGTTTTTGGAAGCCTAAACGTTATGCATGTTATTAGCAAGGAGCAAACTAATTAATATCTAACTCATTATCAAACTACTTTGCTTTGTAGGGCTTGGTATAAGATTTTGGTTTCTGTTTCAGACTTGCACTGGATTTGATAACTTCTCTAAGTGGTTGTGCACTTGTGCGTCTCAGGGAGTGTATTCTAGTTGACTTAATTTTCTGCAATTTTTTGTAACTTTTCTTTTAGTCAAAATGGTGAGGCAGGTTAGTTGCGGTACATGTGCTGTTTTTTTCTGTATGTGAATCTTATCCCCACATATTTTCAGGTTCTAGTACATACAGAAATTGCAAAAGAACATGGTGACTTAGCAACCAAGGTTTTGAAGAATTAGCTACTGGATGGATTCATTTCTCTAGACAGTAAGTGCACATCTCAGCTATTCTCAGGTTTGGATTTTTCACTTGCTAATTGTTCTTATGATATTTATTTACTTTTTTTTCTTTTGCAGGAGGCTAAGGGACCAAGAGAAGAAAACAGGAGGAGTATATTGATCAAACACAACAAGGAAACAAAATATAATTACGGATGGAGACTATCAACAAATTTAATTCTTGTGGTGAAGA